ATAGTTTAAAAAGTACAATGTGAAAGGCTTTGCAATGTGGATATAAAACACTGACTCAAACTTGATGAAGTCTGTCCAGAAGGCTGGTTGGGTTGCTAAGCAACAGTAAACTACAATCTTCAATTTAGAATCCAATATTTACAATAAATACCACTTTAATGTACTGGTGATATATTTTTTTATTCAATCTATATTCACTCAGTGTGAATGTGGATTGAATATAAGTTTTTAACTTATATTTACAAGTCAATTGAGAACCTGCCGTCCAGTGTGATCTAGTTCTAGTTTCTTACAGTGTTGAAGTGATATTGTGATCCGATGTCAACAGAGCTGGGGTACAGTGGGCTGTGGTGTCCAGTCACTGGCTCCCAGGGTCCATGGAAATCGTAGTTCATGATGTTCATGAAGTCCATGTGGCTGTTGGAATACAGAGAGAAACAGCATTTTTGATTAACATGAAGGCAAAATTTATAGAAAGTTGGAAAATGAGGCTGTCCTTAACAATTAGGTCCTGTGAACGGCTGTCTGTTGATCCCATTAACCTTGGTCAATGAACAATTTCAAACTACCGTATTTTCCACACTATAAGGCGCACCTAAAAACCTTCAATTTCCTCAAAAGCTGACAGTGCGGCTTATAATCCGGTGCGCCTTATATATGGACCAATATTGAGCCACAACAGGTCTAGCAACTACAGTAAGCAGCCGCCGACTTCATTTTCGCCCGTAGAAGAAGAAGCGCGCGGTGCATGCTGGGATAGTTGTCAGAATGCTGGTTTGTAATCTATTAATAAAGTTTGGCTGTCCTATCTTCCTACCGGCCGTCTAGAATCAGGTCGTCTACAGGTCATTTAGCACCACGTTCTCCACATACATGCTGTGCGCGAACGGAGAAGGGTGACCATCGTCCGGCCATGCCCCGGCCCGGGAAGGCTGGAGTCGGACTGTTTTGTTGACATTCCGTTTAGTGCAGCTCCATCTAGTGGATGCATAAGGTAACTCCACCCTCTACTGTAGCGTCTATTCTATGCGCCTTATAATGCGGTGCGCCTTATAAATGAAAAAAGTTTTAAAATAGGCCATTCATTGAAGGTGCGCCTTATAATCCGGTGTGCCTTATAGAGCGGAAAATACGGTATTTCAGAAACAGATTTATCTCAATGAAGAAAACTTGAACACAAATATTTTAAAAAGACAAAAAAATATTTTTTCTTTCTTGTAAATATACTATATATTCTTTCCTGTAAATATACTGTGTATACACAGAGTTTTTACAAAAGTGGAAAAGCATGAATGAATTAATGCAAATATGCAAGTATTGATCTGTAAAAGCATTGTACATACACATTTAAAAAAACTGTATAGGACAGCAAACAATTTATCTAAATGAATCTAAAATAAAATATGTTCTTAATATTTTTGTTTGCTGAGAATATTAAATTATGGTAATAAAACAATCCATCCTCCTTTTCGAGGGTCGTGTGTTTAAGGGTATAAAGAAAAGGATGTGATATTTCCCAGGTTTTAAAATCATTTAGACTTGACCCCATCTGTACAACATCATGCTACAGGCATGTACTTTTAATATTTGTTAAACAAAGATTAACCCTGTATGTGAGATTCAAAGATCTTCACTCCTTATATAAAACTTAAGAGGAAAATAAACAGCAGGTGCTGCAGATTAAATTCCCTTTTTTAATAATCAGCAGTTGCTTTTACCAGTTTGCTGATCTGGTATTTAAGAATGTCTCTATTCCTCTCAGTCTTGACCGGAATAGATGCATAAATGACTTCAAGTTTGTGAAACTTACGCTGCGATCTTGCTGACTTCGTATGCCTTGTCAATGGTTGAAACGAAGCCGGCCACATTGGCTGAAAGTAGCAGCCTTGTCTTCTTGTTTTCTGTGGCGTCATCCTGGAATGCTGTTGCCAGCTCCTGTACGCAGAAAGACAGACAAAGATTTCAAGTTTTAAATGAGAACCTTTGCTTTGACTCTGAAAATAAGCAAAAATCTAATGTGCTGTTCCATCTACTATTGAATGATCCTATCTTACATAAGGACTAAAGACAAACTTCTCCAAAGCAGAAGTTAAATAATAGATAACAGCACATCAGAAGTTGCTTTAAGGGGTAGTGATGAAGGGTCTGCTTACCGAGACCAGCAGAGTGAAGCCCTCCTTGTCCTCCGGTGGGCTGCCGTTGTGTCCAGGAAACTCCCAGTCCAGATTCAGCCCGTCAAAGTTATGGGAGCGCAGGAAGCTGATTGCTGACTTAATGAAGGTCTGACGGGTCTCTAGTTTGCCAACCACGGCAATGTATCTGAACGGAAAATATTTTATATCTGCTATAAGAATTCAATACTTAAGAGACTTTCACTGCATGAAACAGTAAGTGTTGTTAAATTGGGACTTACGGGCTCACTCCATTTACAGTGCCTCCGACAGACAGCAGAGTCTTCAGGGCAGGGTTGCTAAGTGACAAAGACAGGCAGAAAATAGAATAAACCTTAAAACAAGTAAAGAAATTTGCCATCATAATCATGCCAGGCCAATGTAGTTTAAACAGCTTAGCACCGGGCTAGAAAAATTGAATGTTTTCATCCATCCATTCAATGCTTTGTGGTTATCTGGGATCAAGTCCAGGGGGAATTCCTGATGTCCCTTTCCTCTGTGACACCCACAACTCATTTTGGGGAATCCCAAGGATTCCCTGGCCAGCTGGGATACAGAATCTCTCAAGTGAGTTTTGGCTCTTCCCCAGAGAAATCTTCCAAAGGAGGCACAGGAAGCAAACTGACCAAATAAACTCTGAATGACTGGGCCTTGAGATCCTGTTCATTATGCCGGATTGTTGAAAAGGTTTCTCCAATCCTAGATACATCATACTCCTGCAGTATTTCCCCACAAAATCCCCCATGGGACATGGCCGCAAGGTTCAGCAATTCATCAGAGCCTCTTCCATAACACCCCTCTGAAGCAGCATGGTAAGGAAGGTACTGTCTCTTGAGAGTTGGAACATACTCTCCAACATACTTTCTAGCCCTCTTTCCTAAAAGTTGGAGCCATCGTAAGAGGAGTGTATGCTGCAAGTCAACCCTTTGGCTAACTCTGCTAGGTTTCCTCAGATCAGGAGAGTCAAACTCCAGTCTTTGATGGCTCTGCAACTTTTAGACGTGTCTTTTTAGCAACACACTGTAATCAAAACACTGAACTGCCTCTTCAGTATGCAGTCCTGCACTCTGGAGTTCTGCTAATGAAATTTGATTCAGGTGTAAGGATAAGTAACATAATTCTATTAGATTTATCACCATAACAGTTTTGCTTTTGTCTCTCTTGGCGTTGCTTTCAGGGTTCCATTATGTTTTTAGTCAATTTTGTGCCTCAGAAACAATATCTGTGGCTTGAGAATCATACTAGCCATTACAGACAGATGCTCTTGGACTTGGCAAATACAGACATGAGAAATCGTGTTGCTATGCGGACTTACTATTTCTTGAGGCCGTTAAGGCTGGCGTACAGCTCCTGATCGTTCCACTCAACGGGAGTGACCTGGTTGAAGCTGTTGATGCTGGCCAGGGCGTAGATGACATGGGTGCAGAGGAACGGGTCGATGTTGTCCGGGATGAATTTAGCACCGCTGGGTCTGTACTGGGCCCAGTTGGTCATGTGACACACCAGCTTGTTGGATGAAGCTGAGGGCATTTGGAGAGAAGCCATAAAAATGGTCAGCAATAGGTCTAAAAAAATGCAACTTTATTATTTATTTTACAGCAGAAACTCACCAATGTGTGCCAGGACCAGAAAGCCCACGGCGGCTAACAGACAAAGAGAGAGAGGAAGATTATGAAGAACCAAACACAAATATAGTAATTATAGATTGAACTAAGCAGACAAAAATAAAATGTCACATCTTAATAACAAAAAAAAAACCCAGGAAGACCAAGATAACATAATCATATTCATAATCTTATTCAGATTATGAATAAGATTATGCATATATATTATGCATATATATATGAATAAGATTATGCATATATATATGAATAAGATTATGCATATATATATATATATATATATATAT